CTCGGCTTTTCCACTTTGTATTCTAGTTCTTTATGGAGAACTGATACCATCATCTGTGCTAAATTAAATAAGCTCCTCCTCTCAAATAATCCCCCCCCCACGCCCCAAGTGTTTTTGAAACAAATAAGCCCCCCTGGGGGCATAATAGAGGATTTCAATAAACAAAGCTGTTTGCCAGTCAATGAGTTCAATATTAATGGTGTTACAAAAATCTAAGATTCTGAACAAAAATTTCTTTCCTGGAAAGAGTTTCAATACCTTAGTGCCTGAAGCTATATTTGACGTATATGTTGCAGTTAATTTTTTATCTCAGGTAATTTTAATTTTTCTTTTGTTTCAATTTTATTAGCATACATTACCTCAGTTGAAAAATTAACTACAACAAATACAAGCTTCAAGTTTATTAACATGACATTGGCTTTCAGTCCAGGCCAAAGAATATTTTGGGCAAGCATGCAGTAAATGCCTACATTAGGGCACACGGGGTAGTCAAACTCATCGCTTTCATACACGATTTAGATTGGACTTTCTTGTAAAGCATGTTTGCTGAGTTTAGTTCTCCACGAAAAGCTTCTTATGCTGTATGACTTTGTTTGGATAATAGGGATAACCTCAGGCAGGTAACCACATGGAACATAATCTCTCTGAAGTTATTATTGTCAACTAATGGTCTTGTGCAGGTCGTACTGTACGCTACTCTGAAAGATGGTAAACAGTACAACTCCATGAGAAATTCAATGGTTTAGTTATTTTTGTCATGGGGTCAATACAAAAAAACTTTCACAAGTGAAAATATTTACCAGTGAAGTTATTATTTTGGTCTCTGAAAACAGTAGCGATACTTGTGTATTTTTTTACACTTTTTAATGAATTTATCACTGGTTGCATTCCCCAAGTAATAGGAACACAACAAGTTTGGGATGTCGCTTACTGTAACCAACCCATCACAACTTTAATGCTTAACTATAAACCCATTCCCCTTGAAATCTTGTTCCACTACTCATTTACACATCCTTCTATTTAATCCTATGATCCTACAAGCTTTCCCAAAACATTTCCCACCAATGCCGGGAGGAGAGGGAGTGAAAAATAAACTTTAAGACTGCTGTGTCACTTTTAAACCTAAAAACTAGCTTGAAATTATGCTTTCTGAGCATGATCAAATGTTGGAAGCTGATACTTTCCATCTGAAACAGAACTTGCGGGCTCTGTGAAGTGCTCAACTCACAAACAGCGTTTTGGCTTATTGTAGCAAGGCAGTGACCAGAAAACAGCTTGATTAGCTTCAAAACACAATATTGTGCAAAATTTTCAGGAGTAAATGGATTAAAAATAATGACCCGGAGCATGCAACATATTATGAAAAGGCTGATCACTGCACCTTTCCATTTTGTGAGAAAGAACAGATCTTTATTGTGGCCAGTGAAATGGAAAAGGTTATTATATGTATTAAAGACTTCTTCTTCCACCTCAGTGGCTTAGTTTTCCTTTAAACTTCGGTTGAGGAAGTGAACTTTTATTTGGAGGGTGGATGATGAAATGTGTTTTAAAAGATAGTGTGGAGCATAATAATAAAGGTTAAAACCACAAGCTTCCACCTTCAAGTTTGTTGTGGAATTTTTTATTTTGGACTTTGATTTCTTTCAACTTTTTTTAAAAATGTTTTTGGAAGCCCGCCCCCTCTCCCCCCCCCCCCCCC